AAAAATATTTATATTCTTCAGAATTTAAAATTTCATAAATTTCACGTGAAATTGCCTATATATAATAGATTTAAAAATTATTATTATTATTATTATTATCATTAATTTAACGTTTAATATTATTTTTATGTTAATGAACAATAAAATTGTCTTTTGAACAGTTAACGAGAAAATGAATCATTTTTCATAATTTAAATGTTCACTAAATTTTATGATATGAATGCAATCCTAAATGGATTCAAAGAAACAATTGAAGGAATCCGCAAATCGTCTATTTCCTATGTTTTTGACATGAAATATGTTTTTAAAATGTTATCTTAATTTTCAATTAAAAGTGTTTCAAATTATTCCTTTAGTTATAGAAATATATATATATATATATATATATATATATATATATATATATATATATATATATACGCAGAAATAATAAGGCAAATCATCTATATAGAGAATCTTTTTATTACAATTAGTATAATGTACTCATTTTATAGGATATATATAGTGATTTTTATGTTCCGAACCCCTTAAAATTTTTTTTTAATTACACTTTTTTTTTGTTTAAAAAACGAAAAAAATGAGATGAAAAAAATTTTTTTAGAGGGGTCCAGAACATAATAATCATCCAATGCATAATTTATAGAGTATTCATTATGAAATAATTTCTGCAAAATATATATTCATTTTTTTGACATATTAAAATTTTATTAACCTTGAACTATATATTTCTAGATTGAATTTATTTATTTTTTGTGAAATAATCATTTCGATCATAAAATAAATTACCATTTTATCTCTTTAGAAACCCCCCACCCCCCCACTCTTTCGCGTTAAGCAGTAACCCACTTTGTACAAATTTTTCCCAATTCAGCGAAAGTCTTAGAAAAACAAATAAAAGAGCAATAATCTCACGCAGCTCTGCTATAAAGCGTCTATAGATATAGGTATATATATATATAGCTATCAAATGAAATAGAAAGTTGGCCTCATACAGCGTGTGCCGAGCATGTCTTCTCCACTTATATAGTTTATAGATTTCCGATCTTATTTCTCACCTGTTAAACTAGATGTAAAAATTAAACACCACTTATCCAGCATCACACATAACGAAATATTTAATTTATAATTATAATAATAATAGATATATTTTATATAGAAATACTATATTTATCGCTGATTAAGAATTTTGAAAATTACGAAATTGAAGAATTCGACTTTTATCAGCAAAGTGACATCTATTAGATGTCATTAAAACTCCTTGGTTCAGAGTTAGGTGTTTCATGTGATAATTATATCGATATGATTTGTCGACAACCGATTTTGATGAATCAAAAACGATTTTTTTCAGAAAATTACGTATTTTCAGAAAATTTTAAAATAAAAATAAAATTTTGTTATTTAAATAGAAAAAAGTAAAAAACAAAATTTCTTTTAGATTTTTTTTTCAATTTCGATCTCTTTTTTTTAATTTTTAATTTTTTAATAATATTCCTTTTTATTTTATCTTTAATTTAAAAAAAAATTCATCCTGGAGACTTTTTTAGATCTCGTTATATCATTCTTTAAATTAATATCCACATCTCAAGAAAACTAGGATCCAGATTTGTGTTTCTACTTTCATTTGTTTTATAATATTATTGTTACAAACTAGAAACTTTCGCGTAATAATGTTTTTATTTTTAAATTACTTGACTAAAACAAGTGAAAATTCAAGCAAATCAATATTTTATTAATAGATTTGAAGCAAAGTTTTTATTTTTTGTAATATTTATAATTTAAAGTAAATTGTAATGAAACCTTAACAATGCAACCTGAAATTGTAGCTGAAGTTTTAAGCGCTTTCTTTTAGAGGATTCTAAAACAAATAGTTATTCATAACCATAAAAAATTTCAACAAACAAATGAAAGTAATGATAGAAGCAAGTCCTGCGGTTTTCAAATTGATGAAGACTTATAATACTTAAAGGACGATATCACGAGATCTAAAAAAGTCTCCAGGATGAATTTTTTTTTAAATTAAAGATAAAATAAAAAGGAATATTATTAAAAAATTAAAAATTAAAAAAAAGAGGTCGAAATTGAAAAAAAATCTAAAAGAAATTTTGTTTTTTACTTTTTTCTATTTAAATAACAAAATTTTATTTTTATTTTAAAATTTTCTGAAATACGTAATTTTCTGAAAAAAATCGTTTTTGATTCATCAAAATCGGTTGAAAATTGACAGAGATATAAAGGAAAGAAAAAAATGCAGTATCAAAATTAAAAGTGATATAACTCCTACAATTTTAGATATTTTAAAAATTCCTTTTTTTTTACACATTGCTCTTATATAAAGCTCTAATTTTACCAAGTATCATTAAAATCGAAGAACCACTTGCAGATTCTGATATTTCTGACGTGGACTTACCCACAAATAATTTTTCGAATTAGCATTTGAGTTACTTTCTTTGTAAACGAAATTTTATTTAACATAATTTTTAGTTACTGGATTTTTTATTTAACATAATTTTTATATTAACAAATTTTTTTTTTATCCAACTTTTTATTTTAAAGAATTATATAATTTAAACCAATTTTAAATTATCAAAATTCTCATTCAATAGAATTTTAGTGATTCGAATTATTTAATATTAGAATTTTTAAACTATCGGATCTTGATGTGTCAGAATTTTTATTTACACGAATTTTTTATTTGATAAAATTTCTAAAACAGCGAATTTTCATTTCATATAGAAATTACAAATGGCTGAACGAACAAGAACATCAGAATGATTTCGGCGCTAATTATAAAATAGACCAATCACAATTTTTTTTTTTTAATAATTTCTGATTGGTCTATTTTAAAAATTGCGCCAAAATATTTCTAACGTTTGTTTGTTCGGCCATTTTTGCAATTTCTGATGTCAAATGGAAATTTGCTGTTTTAAAAATTCTATTAAATAACAATTCGTGTTAATAAAATTTCAAATAAATGAAAATTCGGAGCGCATTATTATTATATAAAAATTATTAGTATAGAATTTTGTTGGATATTATTATTTTTTAGACGAATTTTCCTTTTTCGAATTAAAATTTGACACAATTTCTCGCTTTAAACAAATTTTTTATTTTAATACAGAATTCTTAAAACGACGAATTTTTATTTGTCCAAAATTGAGTTTTTTAAAATTGACCATTCAGAAATTGTCAAGAAAATCGTGATTGGTGAATTTTAAAAAATGCGGCACAGTTTTCCTAAAAGTATCAAATTGAGACCAAAAATTGCATCAAATCTTTGCAACGTTTTGATGCACATAAGTTATATCAAAAAGAGATCGTTTTGTGTATCATTTTTAGAAATGATACACGAAAAGGTCTCTCATTTTTTGATGCAAAAAATTTAATCAATTTATATCAATCATGGCCGAATTGAATCGACTCAAAATTAAACGAATTTTTTTCAGATATTTTGGTAATAGTACAATTGCGGAGACCATTTCACTATTTAATTTGAAAATGAAAATAACAGAAAATCAAAGACAATGTGCAATTCGATAATTAAAAAGTGACAGCTTACAAACATAACCTAAAATGCATGAGAAAAAATTTGTCGATAAAATCAATATAGCCGAGCTTTTTAGAAGGTAGATGGCAGCACTCATCTATTTTCTTTCTTTAAATTTTTTCTGAATCGTTTTTATAAAAAGCAAAACTGGCATCTACCTTCTAAAAAGCTCGGCTATATTGATTTTATCGACAAATTTTTTCTCATGCATTTTAGGTTATGTTTATAAGCTGTCACTTTTTAATTATCGAATTGCACATTGTCTTTGATTTTCTGTTATTTTCATTTTCAAATTAAATAGTGAAATGGTCTCCGCAATTGTACTATTACCAAAATATCTGAAAAAAATTCGTTTAATTTTGAGTCGATTCAATTCGGCCATGATTGATGTAAATTGATTAAATTTTTTGCATCAAAAAATGAGACCGTTTCCTTCATCATTTCTAAAAATGATACACAAAACGATCTCTTTTTGATATAACTTATTTGCATAAAAAAGGTTGCAATAGAAAAAGATACAACCAAGTTTACTGTGGGCGAAATCTTTCTGTTGATTGTTTATTCGGCTATTTGCATAATTTTGGACAAATAAAAATTCGTCGTTTTAAGAATTCTGCACTGAGAAAAATGGAAAAACGAATAAATCAACTTTTGCTATACTATAAAAGTAAAACCGGAACTGTCTGCAGTTTCTGAGTATTTCTGGTAATTTTTACTCTGAAAATATTAAAATTTACTCCTGAAATAGTAAACATTATTCCAGAAATAGTAAATTTTACTATTTCTGGAGTAAAATTTCATAGAACTGCACAGAGACAGTTTCGGTTTTACTTTTAAAGTAGTAAAAGTTACTTTATTTGTTTTTCTATTTTTCTCCGCGTGTGTACAATACAAATTTGTTTTAAGAGAAATTGTATTCGAAAAATGAAAATTCGTCAAAAAAAATAATTATATCCAATAAGAAATTTTTGCGCAAATCAAAATTCTAACTAATAATTTTTATGGGATAATAATATGCGTCTTGAAGATTTGATAAATTAAAAATTTTAACATTATAAACAATTTAAATAACTAAAATTCTGTTAAATGAGAATTCTGATAAATTAAAATTGACTTAAATTATAATACACTTTTAAATAAAAATTGGATAAAAAGAAATTCGTTAAAATAAAAATTATATGAAATAAAAATTTGGTATCTAAAAATTATTGTTAAAATTTCATTTACAAAGAAAGTATAACTGCTTCGGATGCAGTTTATTAGAAAAAAATAAATAAAAAGAAACTAATTATTTATCTAAAGCATTGAATATAATTATATTTGACTCAACGTATAGCAAGATTAATATTAATACGTTTATTAATTATTCCCGAAACACGCTGACGCTAAGGGCATAAAATTATATACATAATAATATATAGGAAATAGCATTAATTTCGCGCATGAAAGAGAGAGAGAGAGAGAGAGAGAGAGAGATGACGATGGATTAGGTGAAGAGTGTCACATGATGTGAATGAGTAAAACTCGCCTTGTCATGAAACCCGGATGAGTCGAAGGTCCGACACGTAAGGTCAGTGTACTTAGCCTACACCTTATACTTAGGTCACTGTAACATGTTCCAGTATTTAGACCTATTCCCTCGATTTTTCATAGTGGGGGAAATGCAGAGCAAGAGACGACTACGACGAGGAAGAGTCAAGCTAAAGAGAAGGTGGTTCAACGCAACGTAAAGAGGGAAGGAGTAAAGTATATTGCAAAGCACAATACAGCATTAGTCAGGAGCAGAGGTAGAATTGCAATCAGTCTGAATCAGTCCAACCGGGCCAGTCTTAACAGCTACTACCAATATCTGCGTGCCGGTAGTGTTCCAGTAGTAGTGCTTCAGTGATCACACCTCCATTCTTTGACATTCGACATTCTTCTTTTATCATGAATTCCTTTTATTTTTAGGAATATTCAGTAATTCTGTTTTTTTTGTTTTTTTTTTTTCATTTATGACAGATCGTAAAAATTTTGAATTATGTTTGGTATAGCCGAACAAATTTTCAAACCTTGACAAATCAAAATTGTTATAAATTTAAAGTATACTCTATATCTGATACTAAAATCTCATCATTTTCGGTGATATTTCGATTCATTAAATTTTTTTTCTACCCTTGATGAATTGGCAAAAGTGAGAGTGCGTCAAAGGTCAAAATCACCAGAATGAGCAATGCACCTACAACCGGGGCACGTACCCTTCCTGCTAATGACAATGCAAATGAAAAGGAAGTAATCTCCTGGAAGTCTATGACAATTAGACAAAAATGGAATTTCTTCACCAGCAGTATTACCGTGGAACCAATGGTGGCATGTTATGTAATGCCAAGTGTTTTAGCATCTTTAGCAACACAAAATTTAAATCTAGAAAAAGCATGTAGAGTAAATTTAGCGTATTCAAGTGAAGTTTGCGATGCGCTTGCAGTGAGAAATACATCAGGCTATGCCGAAGAAGAAAAAGCTGTACAACAATTAGTTGCCGGGATGCAAACATGGAAGACTGCATTACAAAGTGGATTACCAACAATTTTAATTCTTTTCTTGGGTGCCTGGAGCGATAGAACTGGATTAAGAAAGCCATGTATGCTATTACCAATTGTCGGTGAATTTTTAACAAGCATAAGCTTGATAGCGTGTACATATTGGTTTTATGAATTGCCAATGGAGTTTGCGGGTTTATCTGAAGCTTTATGGCCAGCCGTTACTGGAGGATGGTTCACAATGTTCATGGCTGTATTTAGTTATATCGCCGATATTACAAGCCTTGAATCAAGAACATTGAGAATTGGTTTCGTTAATGTTTTTCTTTCATTGGGAGTGCCTGTGGGGATGGCACTCTCAGGAATTCTCTACATGCAGATTGGTTTCTATGGTGTATTTGCAATTTCCACCGTGTGCTATGTACTTAGCTTCATTTATGGACTGGTTGTTATCAAAGAGGCACCAAGACCGGCCTTGGTACAGGACAAAAAGGATCATGAGAAGAAATCCGTTTGTGCCTCAGCGCTTCATTTCTTTTCACTCAAGCACATTTCAGAGACTTTCAAAGTGGCCTTCAAGAAGGGAGAAAATAACAGACAAAAAAGAGTAGCCGTTCTTATGATTGTTGTTATGGTCATTGTAGGACCCATGTATGGTGAGTATATTATGAAAGAAATTCATTTACTAGAATTTAGATAAAAACAAATTTTTATTACAGCCTCGAAATTATTTAATTATATATTATCATTTTCTCTTCACATTACATAAGAATTATTTAAAATGCCATACACTATAATTTCTGTCACACTACATTATTTAATGTTTTATCCTTCATATAAAGGACATATGACCAAAAATCTATATAATTATTCTATTTTTAGACTAGAAACATAAAAACATTTCTACAAGGGCAAAAAAAAAAAAAAAACTTTTGTGATTATGAAAAATGTGAAAAAAAAGGGCATCACTAATTGTAATGAGAAAAAATAATTTAAAATAAATAATATTATTTATTAATTAATGAGGGAAGAGAGTGGTTTCATTTTCATCTCAAAACAGGGTCGTTTCTTTCTCGCCTACTCTTGTGTCTTATTCGTTGGCCTTGACTCTGTACTCCACTTATTCTCGGGGATTCTAATGCTCGTACTGGGAATACCAATTCCAACAAAATTAAGCGTTGTTTTTGCCTTCAGATGTTACACGGTCCAACGATTTACCTGTGGCTAATTCAAAAACATGCAGCTACACTCCACTTATCGCGCTTTTATTTCTTGCTTCTTCTTCTTATTCTTCTTCTTTCAATGAATTTTTACTAACACACCAAATGGTTTTTTCCACTTCAATAAAAATTGAATCAATAAATAAATTGGTTCACAACATTTTCTAAATCTTATTTTTTAACTATGACTCAATTAATTAATAATTATGACATCGCTTATTTTTTGCGACTATCTCTATTAAATATTTTGTAGCCAATTATCAAATAACTCATTGTAACTATACCTTTGAATATACTAGATTAAAATCAATTATTGAAAATCAATTATAGAAAATAATAACTCTCTGCAATTGTATAGTATAATTATCGCTATAGTACAAAAGTTTGCTCAACAATTTGAGTACAATTTTTTTTAGCGACTCCTCTTTTGAAAGTGAGATCTTAATTCAAAAACAAATAAAAAAAAATAAAAAAAATTCTTTACTAATTGTGCCATTGTTTTATGTATCACTTTCACGTTCAGTTTCTTTAACTTTCGAAGTCATTGTTTACAATGACCCAATGAGGACAAAACATTCTCAAGTGACTTAGAAAATGAAAATTCAATTTCCTTATAAATATATATTTTAGAATGATTTCAATAATTTTTGTATTTGAAACAAAATACCATCTCAAATAATAATTATTTGATACAAATAAATATTTATTTGATAATAGTCAAGTACTCTCTAAATCTGAATTAGTAAAAAAGTTTAGTAATTTGAATTAGTGACTCACTTTTTGCTTCTAAATTAGTAAAATTTTACTAATTCTACAGCAAAAAGTGAGTCACTAAATTAAATTAGTAGAAATGTTTACTAATTTGAATTAGTGTCTCATTTTTTGCATTTGAATTAGTAAAATTTAACTATAATTAATATAGTAAACAAAAAAATTTTATTATCAAATAGGTAAAAATTTTACTAATTCAAAAGCAAAAAGTAAGTCACTATAATTCAAATTAGTTAAAATTTTTAGTAATTCAAATTTAGAGAGTAAGATAATTTTACCGATAATTTTCATTTACACTCTAAATCTGATTCAATGAAAATTTCACTGAATTCAAATCAATGGCTCAGTTTTCTTTAATTCACCAGTGGAATTTCACTGGGAATCAGTAAAAATCACTGATTCTCAGTGAAATTCCACTGGTGAATTAAAGAAAACTGAGCCATTGATTTGAATTCAGTGAAATTTTCACTGATTCAGATTTAGAGTGTACCTGAATAAATATCTGGCAGAAAATATTTGGAAAAATTCATTTAATAATATATAGAATTTAGTAATATATAGAAATTTGTTTTAAATTAAATTTCTGTTTCTTATCTAAATAAATATTTACGTGAACCAAATAATAATTTTTATTTAAATTAAATAAATTATAAGTATATTTGAACCAATAATTTTTGTATTTAAAACAAATACCATTTAATTTACTCAAATAATAAGCAAATAAATATTTATTTGATAATAATAGTTTTGTGAATTAACTTTCAATTTATTTTACGAACAGATATTGCAAAATATAATATGCAATTTATTCCCTCCTTCCCCCTACCTTCTTTCGCGTTTTTAATGACATAACGCAAATTTTTATTTCACCGCTAAACAAAATACGGAAGTTATTTTAATATTAAAGACAAATAACACTAATAAAAATTAAATTACAATTATAATAATTAAGTTTCCATCACTTTCGCAACATCATTGCGTATATATATAGGTATATATAGTTTGAAACATTGTCTGCGGCACAGGATATAAATCTCATTTCCTACAATTAACATTTTTTAATAGAATATTTTTAGAATAACCTTTAAATATAGTTTTACATTGTGACTATAAAAAAAAAAGATTGATGCTCAATCCTTGAGGAAAAAAATTACATATTAGATAATATAACTATTTTTATAATAATTTTTGTCAGCGTAACGAAAGCAAAAACATTATAGTTAATATTTTCATTTTAATTGTTATTATTATTATATCATTATTATTTTCAATTAAATGAATTAATAATTATTTTTATAAAATTTTGAATAAGGGAGAACTAGTTGATTTTTTTATCTTTTTCTTGTTTCACTGTAAAAAGAAGATACTAAAATAATACCGATTTTAGGTATTAAAATAGAACCAAAAGGCAATTTAGTACCTAAAGTTGGTATTAAATTAATACCTTTCGTTTTACAGTGTTTGGCCTAGTAGACCTCATAGTTCCAATATTGATAATTAATAAATTTAAATATAAAATTACTTCGCCTTAATTTTTTTTTTCATATATAGAAAAGCAATTTTCTATTTTTAAAAAAATGTCATAATTGCAAATAAGCATCTTTCACTATATAGCAGAGAGTGAAAGTTCAACGACGCTCATCAATTCATTTATAAGATGAGTTAAATGAAAGTCCTGTCATTACAGTAAGAACAAATTATTCTTCTCCCTCATAATAAATGTTAAATTTAATTTTAAATAAAATAATAACAATTATAATATTGTATATATAATTTACTATAAAATCCAAAAGTTCAAATTATTCAATAAATTAATTCAATTCTGATATTTTTTAAATAGAATATAATTTTAAATTATTAAAAAGTATTATTTTATTTATGCCTCTTTTTTACCATTAAAAGTTACCATTATTATTAATAAGGATGAACATTTTTGAGATTAAGAAACAATTTCAATAGCGTAACTTAACATTTTTTTAGGGTTCCGTACTCGGTTCGGAACCCTATTAATATCGGTTTTTTTGAAATCGTGTACCCCCCCCCCCTAGCGGCCACACAAATTTATCTGGAGGGCTGAAAATTAGTACACATATGTATTTTCGCGTGTAGATTACAGGAAAATTATAGCGAACTTGATTGGAATTGATTAACATAGCGTTGTCAAGGAAAAATCAAAAATTTCGAAAAAAATAATTTATTCTCCCTAGCGCACACAATATTCAACCCAGACAGATCATATTTAGTATACAAATGTATTTTTACGGGAAAAATACAGGGGAAAAAAAGCGGTCACGATTAGAGTTGATGATTAACTTTTTATCAAGTTTTTCAAGAAAAAATGACAATTTTAGGAAAAAAATGTATTTTTCCACCAAAAACGAACAAAATTTTATTTAAAGGAAATTAAATTTATATATTTTAACGTATTTTTACGTGTAGATTACAAAAAAAATATAGCGAGCATGATTGGAGTTGATTATCATAGCGTTGTCAAGGAAAAACCATGAATTTTTACGAAAAATACCTAAAAATGAGTATGTACCCCCCCCCTAGCGGCCACATCTTTTGACATAAAGAGCTCAAATTTGACACACTTACGTATTTTTACGTGAAAATTACAGGAAAATTATAGCGAACTTGATTCGGAATAATTTACATAGCGTTGTCAAGGAAAAATCAAAAATTTCGAAAAAAATGATTTATTCTCCCTAGCGCACACAATATTCAATCCAGACTGTTCATACTTGCTGTAAAACTCAATTTTTGCGTGAAAAATACAGGGAAAAAATGTAAGCGCGATTGGAGTTGATGATCAATTTTTATCAAATTTTTGAAGAAAAATGATAAATTTCAGAAAAAAATGTATTTTCCGCAAAAAACGAAAAAAGTTTTTCTACAGTGATTCAAATTTATATATTTTGACGTATTTTTACGTGTAGATTACAAAAAAAATATAGCGAGGATGATTGGAGTTGATTTTTCTGGAATTAATAAACAAATTTTATTTTTTAGATAACTTTCGATTTTTCCTTGACAAGCAGCTACTAGCCTTATATCAATATCTTAAGTTTTATCTCTTTTTGACTTAGAAAGATAAAATTTAATATTCAATATATTTTTAAAATGTAAATACAATAAAAATATTGCAAGTTGAAATAAAATTATGTTTCTTACACTACCGTCCGAAATTGTGCGAACGCTTACACCGCGAGTCATTGAAAAACATACTCGCGTGAAAATAAACATAACTCTGAGAGAAATTAACGTAGAGACGTTTCCCTTATAGCGTTGGAAAGCTTATTAAATTTCGAAAAAAATGATACCTATTTGAATGAGATTGCTTAAATAGGTTTAAATATATCATGTTACAAAGTTGAAAAAATAATTGTAATTTTTTGCTTATTTCCTACCTTGACTTTAACCTCTTGCATGGTCCAGGAAAATCGACGAAAAAAATTGTCCTTTAACATAATTATTCCTTGAAATCTAAGCTTTCCATTGATTCCAAGAACAATAAAAAATGTTGACAGGTTTGCCAGTAATTGAAAAAAAAGGACGAGCGTGCACGAAAAAAAATTCGACCGTCAATCGCTCGATTTTCCTGTCTCGCTGCCTCTTTCGTTCGTGCGCCAGGGCCGAAACAGAGGATTTTGATTAGGCGCTTT